GTTGGGAGGACATGGCTTTTGTTGAAGAGCGGGGTGCGGAAGCGCACCAGTTTGCCATGGGGAATGGGCTGAGCTTTGTGCCGGAGTGGTACTTTTGGCCGCTGATTCTTCCAGCAGGTGCGAGGAGGCTGAGCCAGCCCACGGCAAGACCTTGAGTGTTGTGGGCACCAGTGTGGGTGCAGCATGTCTGGCACCTTGTGATGGATCCAAATACCTCTTGGCCACATCTCATCCTCTTGCACGTCCATGCCCACCCTGCCCATGTTGGTGTCCACCATCTCGAGATGGGAACTGCCAGTGCAGAGCAGCGTTAAGCAGGAACCATTTAAAATTAAAGCTCTGCCAGAAAAATTTCCACCTTTCTGCTGGAAAAAATAATGGTGGTTGGCCTGTAGGCCCAACTCCTGCCCATGGCTCCGACATGCTGTCACCTTGCGGCATGGGGGCCAGCAGCGTGACTCGCCTGAAGTGGAAGTGAAGCCTGCCTTTCCCTGGGGAACAAGCCCAGAAGGCTCCAAAACATCTGCTCAGAAATTTGTGACCTTCCCCCAAATACGAAAAGACCCAATTCGGTGGATTTTTTGTTTCTGAGCTGGTGGGATCAGAGTAGAACACAAAAGGTGGATGAGAAACAGCACAAGCTGCTCCTTGCTTAGTCCTTGTGTCTCCAGTGGTGAGACCCTTTCTGCTTCTCCTTTCGCATCCGTGCCTGGGGACAGGGACCGTGCTGCAGAGCGTGATGCGATGTGCAAGGTCTAGGGCTGCCTCCCAGCTGGGAATATGTTCGGAGCAACGAGAAGGTTGTTTCCCCGCAAGGACGGTTAGGAGGTGCTGCCCATCTTTCTGAGCTGCGCACCTTCCCACTCTCCTCCTCTTCCTCCTGCGGCCTCCCCCAGTGCAGCCTTTTAACCGTTTCCAGCTTATTTTACGTGAAGCTGTTCCAGCAAAGCATTTCAGGGACACGGGACTGGGTCAGGTCTGTTCTCCGGAGCGGCAGCGGTGCCGTGCCTGTGGGAGTGCCACAGTACCTCTTGGAAACCAACCGGGGATGAGCCAAAACCACCCGCTTACTGGAGCCAGTCCGTGCCGGGGCTGCCTTCCCCTGCCCTGCAACTGCTGCCCCTCCTGCCTGCACCCCCTGCCCGTGGCTCCCCCTGCCCGGGCAGGGCACTTGCTCCTCCACGGTACTTTGCAAATCACTTCCTGGGTTCCCCGGTTTGTCCCTCCGGTTCGCGTTGGCATAGCTGCTCGCTTGCCTTTTTCTTTGCTTTTTTATTTTGGGTTTTGTTTCTCTTCTCCTTCCCCCCCTGCTCAACTCCAAGTGTTGTGGGTTTTTTTCTTCTTTTTTTTTTTTTTATTTTTTCTGCCCAGAAAAACCTGACTTCGATACCAAAAAAACAAAACAAAACAAAAAAACAAAAAACAAACAAAAAAACCTGCAGAAACTCAAAAAAAATAAAAACAAAAAAAAACACAAAAAAAACTCGACGACTCTTTCAGCTTTATTAACATTTTCCATTGTTTCTTGCGATTTGTGTCTCGTTCTTTGTAGTATTGATGATAACGAACATTTGATAATGAATGTTCTTGTATATTCAGATAAAGGAGAAAAAAAAAAAAACCAAAAACGCAGTCGGAATTTAATAGTGTTTATAATAAAAGAATAAAAAATTACCCTCTTAGCACGCAAAATTGAACAGGGAGACGGTCCCATCCCTGTTCTTTCTGTGGCAACAAGCGCTTCATTCCTGTATAGTTTATAACATCAAACTACCTACATTCATCTTTTTTTTGTTGTTTGTTTTTGCCATGGTTTGGTTTTTTTTTTTTCCATTTTCTCGCATTTGTGAATTAGTTCAAGAATGCTAGAAAAGTGTAGAGTTGTGCACACTCATTTCTTCTTACACAATGTTTAAAAAGTGACGGTAATTCATTTTGTAAAACTTTAAAAAAAAAATGGTTGGAATAGTGAGCATTAATAGGTACAGTCTAACACTTTATGTTTCTTAACGTTGAGACCCAGAAATTGCCTTTTATTTTATTATTTTGGCATTATTTGGGAGGGGAGGGGGGGCTTTGATGATGATGCTGAGTTTATTTTGACCTGTCCGAGATGACGGCCTTGCCGCTTTCCCTGCGCTTTTGGGCTGTGACCCAAGTGATGTGAAAAGTGATGGTGGTGGTTTTGGGGGGGGTGTTTCTCTTTTCGGGGGGGGGGGGGGCGTGTCCCCACTCATTTTCACACCCAACCCCAGAAGATCTTGGGTGGCTGCTCTGGGGCTGAGTGGGGGGCTTACGTCTCCGGAGAGGGACTTAATCCCGAGGGGTTTTGGGGAAGAGATGCTGAGGGGTGACGGGGAGTCGGGTACTGAGCCCCTGTGGGTCTCCATGCCTGGGGGCGAAGCTGGGCTGCCTGGAAGTGATGAAACGGCATGAATCCTCCCCAAAATGCATAGGCAGTGGTGGGCTTCAATGCCATTGTGCTCTGCCCCGAATCCCAGTGACACCCTTGCCCCGAGGGTTTGCTGCAAGAGCCCTGGCTTGGAGGCACCCATCAGCCCAACCGCAGCTCTTGGCCCAAAAATGATGGGTTCGGAGCAAGGAAGGCACCAACCTGATTTCGACCATGGACCTTGTTGAGGATGGAGTCCCACAGTCTGGCCCCAAGCCCCAGCTGCACAGGGGCGCTGGGAAGGATGAGGGACAAGGGATGGCATGCGGCAGCCCCCCAGCCATGGTGGAACATGGCCAAGATGCTCCCAAATATAGCCCGAAATCTCGGTGGCTGCAGAGTGGGGTTCAAGGAGAAGCGCTGAGGAGGACGCCGGTTGGCATCGCTTCAGTTTTCTCTGAAAACAATTTCCCTGCTCCACCCCACCAAAAAAAAAAACCTGAGCTTTTCACATCACTCAGTGGTTTAGGGTTTGGGGTGTTATTTTTAATCCCAAGGTTTCCCGGAGTCCTTTTGTTTTCATACACCTTTTTTATTATTATTATTAATATTATTATTATTATTATTATTAAGACGATGTAAATCAGATGTTGCCTGGGGGGGGTGGTTTTGTCGGTTTGCTTTTTTGTTCTTGCAAAGCCCTTTCTATCCCTTGTAAAGATGATCCAGTTGTCCTGAGTTGCTTTTTCTTTTCTATTTTTTCCCCCCGTCTTTTTTTTCTCTTCCTAATGGATTCCAAATATTAAAAAAAGAAAAAAGAAAAAACCCTAAAAAAAAAAAAAGACTCTCTGTTCCGACCTGGTTTTGAAACTTTAAGCTTTTCTGCTTCTGTAAAGAAAAACAAAGGCCTCTGTCTTTCTGATCCCAATTGAGACTTTTATGTTCTATGACGATACTAACAAGGTGTAGGTTTTACAGTTTCCTGATTTGTACTGGTAATGCATATTCCAAATAAATAGTTTCTTTTGTTGCAAAAAAAAAAAAACAAAAACAAACCTTAAACCAAACCTGGCGTATTTTTTGGGAGGAAAAAGAGGAAAGCGAGATGCCCTGGGCGTTTCCCCCACGGGGATGCAGGGAGCAGGAAGGGTTTGGGGTGCAGCGGGGGGGGGATGAGCAGAGGCAACAGCCCAGCGCTCGGTCCTATTCCTGGTGGTGGGAGCTTGGGAGCCGGAGGGGTGCGATTCAGGGCTGATGCCTGATGCGCAGCATCCCCGCTACTGACGGCGCCTCCCCCCGCACCTCAGTTTCCCTGAGGACATGGATTTGTCCACACAGAAGGCATTTTCAGTCTTTCATTTTCATTGCTTGTTTGCTGCTTTTTTGGACTTTTTAGTGCGCTTCTTTCCAAAAAAACTAGAATGGGGATTTTCTTTATCACACCCAGGGATGGGGCAGGGCTGGGGAGCAGGGGAAGGGTTGGTGTTTTCTTGTGTTTTCCTGGGGGCTTTAGTTTAAAAAAAATAAATTTTTTTTAAAACGTTTCTGAGCAAAAAGTAATTTTAAATTTAAAAATCATTTGCAATTTAAAAAAGAGTCTGTGTGTGGGGTGAAAACCAGGACATCTCTGCTACATCGCCGGAGACAGAGGTAGTAGATGAAAAAGGGGCGGCCGGAAAGGATGGCCGTGATTGCCTGGGTCTCAAGCTTGATTAAGGTGAGCAGGCTCCCTGCCACAAACCCCTCTGACATCCCACGGGGACTGAGGCGGAGGGAAAGAAGCCCCCAGGGGAGCGGCACAATGATGCTGGAGCTGCCGCCCCGCTCCCCCATGGATTTCTTGTCAATGATCATTCAATCTCCAGCCTGACCTTTCTCTTCTAAATAACACGGCGGTATCAGTGCGGGCCAGCCTCCAGCTCCGGCTGCAAATTAACTGTATCGCTCTCCGGCAGGAGACCCAAGGAGCCCCCCAGCCGCCACGCTGCCAAACTGCCCCAGAATTATCTCCTTCCAACGGTGCTCTCCTAATACCAGTTTAAATATCATCTCGCTCCCAGCTGTTTAAGTCTAATAAATGTTCATCCTGGCTCCAAACAGAGAAATGCTAAGTCTCACTGGGCCCCGATGAGAAAATCGCCCCAAAAAGGCCGGTGGCAGGAGGTGATGCTGGGAGGAGGTGATGTGATGCTCTCCAGGCTGAGGGGTCCCGGCACGCGTCTTTTGGTGCCGGGGTGGGTTTGAGCATGTTGCACCTCTCCCAGCTCAAGTCTTTCCTGTTCCCTGCAAAGAGATGATTTTAAGGTGGGAAAAGGGCACATGCAGCCTCCCAGAGCACTGGGGGGGGCGGGCGGAGGAGCCACACTGGGTGCAGCACCCTCCCTCGCTCACTAGCTGCTTGTAGCTGAAAGAGAAAACAAATCCACGTGAACCAAACTGGATTGTTTGTGTTTTTCTTGCTTTCATCTCCTTCCCCCTCTCCACATCCACACCTTTTCCTTCTGCTGGTGCTGCCTCTCCTTCCCCCCCTGCCACTCATTTATGAATGGGATTTTTTTCCTCC